ACTGAGGGAGGCTCCACCCTCTCAAAGGAGAAGGGGAGAGGGTTGAGAGGAAGGACTGTGTGAGGGAGAGGATCAGGAGGACGGGTTAGGGGGCAGAATCTGGATGTAAAGTGAATCAATAAATTAATGGAAAAATATAGTTAGGTTTTATGCTGACTTAATAAAGTTGCAATATAGGTTCTCCTCACTAGGCCTGGATAGTTGGCTTCCTTTCCTGTACCAGACAGTATCACTTGATTTTTTTAAAAAAATTCACTTATTTATTTATTTATTTATTTATTTAGTTTTTTTCGAGACAGGGTTTCTCTGTATAGCCCTGGCTGTCCTGGAACTCACTCTGTAGACCAGGCTGGTCTCCAACTCAGAAGTCCACCTGCCTCTGCCTCCCAAGGGCTGGGATTAAGGCATGTGCCACCATTTCCCGGCTCATTTATTTTATATACATGAGTGCTCTGTCTTTAGACACACCAGAAGAGGTAACCAGATCTTATTACAGACGGTTGTGAACCACCATGTGTGTGGTGGAACTTGAACTCAGGACCTCTGGAAGAGCAGTCAGTCAGTGCTCTTCACCACTGAACCGTCCCTGTAACTCTTCACCTGATTTAAAAAAAAATATTATTTCTACTATCTACTGAGTTTGACTTTTGCTAGTTTTTGTTTTTACAAATTCTTGTGTTGCATAAGTCATTTGTTTGCACTCTTTTCTTTTTTAAATGTAGACACTTAGGGCTATAACTTCTCTCTTAAAAATGGTTTTACTGTGGGGCTGGAGAGATGGCTCAGTGGTTAAGAAAACTGACTGGTCTTCCAGAAGTCCTGAGTTCAATTCCCAGCAACCACATGGTGGCTCACAACCATCTGTAATGGGATCCAATGCCCTCTTCTGGTGTGTCTGAAGACAGCTACAGTGTACTCATATCAAATAAATAAATTAATCTTAAAAAAAAAAAGTACGACTGCTCTTCCAGAGGTCCTGAGTTCAATTCCCAGCAACCATATGGTGGTTCCAACCATCTGTAATGGGATCTGATGCCCTCTTCTGGTGTGTCTGAAGACAGCTACAGTGTGCTCATATACATAAAATAAATAAACCTCTTAAAAAATGCTTTTACTGTTTCCCAAATGTTTTGTTGTCCTGTGCTTCTGTTTTATTTAGTTCCAGAAATATTAAATTTCTTATTTCACCCATTCATTATTCAATAACAAATCATTAATCTCCATGTGTGTATATACTTAGTAGAGTTTTGTTTACTGTTGATTTTAAGGTTATTGCACAATGGCTGGGCAGGATACATGGAATTATTTCAATTTTTCTGTATTTATTAAGGCTTGTGTTGCAGCATGTGCTCCACTGTGGAGAAGGTCCATTGTGCTGCTGAGTAGAATGTATATTTGTGTATTCTTGGTGTTTGGGTTGAATACTCTGTAGATATCTCTTAGGTCCATTTGATACAAGAAGTCATTTAATTCTGAAGTTTCTGTTTATTTATTTTTGATCCAGATGTCTCATGTATAGAAGAAACAAAACTCTACTAAGTATATACACTCATGGAGATTAACAGTTCATTATAGAATAATGAATGGGTGAAATAAGAAATTTAATATTTCTGGAACTAAATAAAACAGAAAGAAACTGAAATTGCCTCCTATTATTAAGTTTGTGTCAGTCTGGAGTTTTAATTCCATTAATATGCTTTTATAAAATTGGGTGCACCAGAGTTTGGTGCATATTTGCTTAGTATTATAGCATTTTATGAATTGATTGATCCCTTGATTAAAATGAAGTAGCTTTGTCTATAGTTATTACTACAAACATTCTAGGGTAAAGGAGTGTGGACAGTGGACAGCCCTGACTTATGTTTTTAGAGGGATTGCTTCACACTCTTCTCCATTTAGGATAATGCTGCTTGTGGGCTATGGGGGAAGCCAGTCCTTTGTAAAATTACTAAAAATAATTTTTATAAATAATTAAGAAGAAAACATAAGGAGAATATGCAGTGAAAGTCTTAATGCTGGTCCCAAGGTCCACGGACCATTTCTTTGCCAGAACAAAAGTCTCAGTCATTCTGTGCAGGAAGGGCATTATTGACAGAGCAGTCCTCAGAATGCAAAGTCTATGGAGGCACATACTATTTGAGTAGAGAAGCCTTCCTAACAGAAGCTCTTGTGAATCCTTTAAAGAGCACCTGTAAACTCTAATCACATGCAGGCTGTTTTGCTATTATTCATAAGAATCTTAATAGAAAACAAGCTCTTGGCTCTATGTTTCTATAGAACATATAGGAATAATTTCAACTCTAATACTTTCCTTTAATAAATAATTTAAACTTTATGAGTTTATTGTAAAGATATCCCAAGTTAGAATAACTAAGGAAGACAGAGGAGAAAGATTTGAAGTGATTGGCCATTTTTAGATAAACAACTGCACAGTAGAGGGTAGTCTAGATATAAGGGAAAGCCCAGGCATTCACAGGAATGCACATTTCAACAGGTAACCAGATCCAGCCAATGCCAGGGAGATGGGTGATGCTATTTTTTGAGGGGGGGACACTTGGTACATCCCGTTTGTGATGTACTTCCTTCCTGGAACCCAACATTCCGCTCTTACCTCACTTCCTTGCCAACTTCACTGAGGAGTTCAAAGGCGTTGGCTGCACTGGTCGTTGACTCTCTAGCAACAGCTGAATCAAGGTACTTATTTGGGTCTTTTCTTGGAGACACACTCTTCTGTCCCTTCCTGGTTCTTCCTTAGGGATGTCCCAACAACCTAAATCTGAACAGATAGAAAAGTTAGCCTGTAAAGACCGACTTGTGCCTCCCTTGTGTCTCCAGCATTCCTCAACCCTTAGAACTGTTCTTTGAGCTAAACAGTTACTGGGCAATTACTTAAGGATCCTAGAAACTATAACCATTTTGTGTCTGCCAGACCAGTGTGTCACTATTTCTGAGGGAAGTGGTATTCCTCTTAGCTTCACAAACTTTGAAACTACCTAATATGCCTTGAGATTTCCTCCATCCTCAGTGACACCAAATAGTCTGTCAGGGGGGCTACTCTCCAACCTCCTCCTGGATGAAGACACAATCTTCATGGTCCTAGAGACACCTCAATGTCCACTCACTAAAACTTTTCTGAGAACTTCAGTTTGAGGACCCCTGATTGGTGTACACATACCCATTTCCTAGATCCCTGGAAACCATCGGTTGGGGAGACTAGTAAACCTGTGGCAATCCTCTCACCAATTTACACTGGACACACCACAAAATATCTACACACAATGTATCACTGTACCACAAAACAGTGCTCGAAATTCCTTAAGAGGCAGGTACAGGGGAAGTATTTGGGCCTAGGGTTTCTGTTACCTTAGCAACCCAGTCATATCCTGTCTGAAGGGGAAACAAATTTACAGTAATGATGTAGATACATGTATTAAAGTTTCAGCAGGTGCTCAGAAATGTTTCTTTTTATTAAAATTTGTGTCTATTATTTTAAATGTATCTACTTACTTACTTACTTACTTACTTTAAACCCCCAACTGCAGTCCTCCTCCCTCCTCTCCTCCAAGTTCTGCCCCCACCCCCTTCTCTCCACATCCACTCCTCCTCTGTTCTCTTCAGAAAAGGGGAGGCCTCCCATGGATATCAACCAGCCTTGGCATATCAAGTTGTAGTAGGACTAGGCGAATCCTCTATTGAGGCTAGAGGTAACCAAGGAGGAATGGGTCCCAAAGGCAAGTAACAGAATCAGAGACAACCCCTGCTCCAGCTGCTAGGAGTCCCACATGAACTCCAAGCTCAACTGTTACATGTGTTGAGGGCCTAACTCAGTCCTATGCTTGCTCCCTGGTTGGCGGTTCAGTCTCTATGAACCCATATGGGCCAAAGTTATTCGAGTCTTAAGTTTTCTTCTAGTGTCCTTGATCCCTCTGGCTCCTACAGTCCTCCTGTCCTCTTCTGCAGGATTCTCTAAGCTCTGCCTAATGTTTGGCTGTGGGTCTCTGCATCTGTTTCCATCAGGTGCAGAGTGAAGCCTCTCTGTGTCTATTACTTTTTAATTAAATGAAAAGTTAAAGCATTTACTTACTAATGAAGGGAAAATTCTGGAAATGTTAAGGAACCACCGAGAGCTGGAAGAGACTATAGGAAAAGAGCATGGGAGGTGACATATAAGAAAAGTATGATGCTTCAAGATCTACCTGTGTGTGCTCATCAAATATGGTTAATTCCTATTTCTCTGTCCTTACGTATTCATTTCCATGTGAGTGAAGCATTATGTTCTGGTAAGAGTAGGGAATTAATGCAAGGGCCTCTCACATGGAAGGTAAGAATCCTAGCATTTAGCTACAACTTAAGTCCTGATAGAATCTTTGAGACAGGATTTAATTTTATATTGCTCAGACTGGCCTAAATCTCACTTCCTAGTTGGCTCAGGCAGGCATTGAACATATGACCCTTCTACCCCAGCCTCCCAACTGCCCTGAGTTACAGGCATAAGAAGGGAACTCTGGCTTCTCTTCCTCCCTTACAAACTCACCATCTGTAGCTACAAACTAAAGGGTAGTGTAAAACACTAGCAGCTGTTCTTCCTCTCTGTCTGTATTTGGCGCTTGGTGTACCTTCTTCTTCTGAACTCCTTACCACCCGTCTTCCAGCGGCAACTGTTTCATTCTTATCTTCTAGGAAATCAGTTTTCACTTTCCTTGCATGAGTGAGAACATGTGCTTGCCTAATTCAATAGCTTTCTCTTTTCTCTTAATCTCAACGAACATTTCAGGGCAACTAATCAGGACAGAAGCTTGACCCACTCTCAAAGACTCACGATGCTTTCGTATATGCTCATCTTAGAATCCAACTGATTCCTAACCACTAACTCTCCCATAGACTTATTAAGGATGATTTTTTTGGGGTGAAAAGGAGCACAAGAAAATTTCAGGTACTGACTGTTACTGTCTATTTGCAACTCCTTCCTTCACAGGTCATTTTGTTTTGAGCCTGAAGAAGACAAGATGATGTCTTTTCAAAATCACAATGATCCCGCTGACATGAAAACAGTGAGTTCCTGTGCAAAGATCCCCGTGGATGTGTTTTATGAACCAAAGAATATATGCAAGGTGAGGTCTCCAGGCAGTGGGTGGACAGAAGCAGCTGAGTGACCAAAGATCACTGTAGAATGACTTATCGGAAAGTGGAAATCAGAGGCACTTGAGACAAGGACTACAGTGTCCACTGGACCTCCATAAGTCTCAGGAGTTCTCTCCATGCACAGATGCTCTGAGGAGAACAAACGAGCAGCATTGAGCATTTCTAGTGGCTGGGAAAAGGCTGGTACTCACATCTCTCACTCGACCCTCACATTTCCCAGGATCGATTATCTTGATTCTCTGGGTGGAGCACTAAGGTCCTCCAATACAGAGGGCATTCTGGGATGAATGGCACATACATCTAGCAGAACAGTTGCCAGAATTAACATTTCCTTCTTTTCTAGGCCTTCCAGGATATTTCTGCATACTTTTCAGATGAAGAGTGGGGAAAGCTGACCAAATGGCAAAAAAGTGCCTACGTGTATATGAAGAGAAACTATGTCCGAATGACTGGCCTAGGTAACAGGAAATCTGGGTTCAGAGCAGCTTGGGGGTTTCCAGTTTGTTATGCCACATCTTCTCAACACGCAGCAGGGCCCTCTCCCATGATACCTTTCTTTACGGAGAAATGTCTACCTTGTGCACGGCTGACAGCATAGACCATAGGCAATAGGGCTCAGGCCTCTTGTGGGTCCTAAGATCTGTGCTGTACCCCAGATCCTAGCAGGCATTTCCCCTCTTTGTGCTGTCTGTTAAAAAACAAGCACTTTGCTTCCTTCTAGGGGTCACAGTGAACCAACCAGTTTTCATGCGTTGCAAGGAGCTGGCCAAGCGATCCCTGGTCGAATGTATTGAAATTCATGATAGTGAAGGTGAGTGACTAGGGAGGGCTGTGAAAGAGCCCCTTCTCAGTCAAGATGCCTGGTAAGGTCACAGGCAGCTCTGCTCTTCTTCAAATCAGGGCTGTGTGGAAAACATTCTGAGGATTATGTAGAAGATCCTGTCATATAAAATTCTAAAACCTTATTGTGTACATTATTCTGGATAATAAGTAAATGGCCAATGTGTAGCACCTTCAAAGACAGTCAGAATGTCCTATGTCCTACTAGCTTGTGATTCCCCAGGAAAGTAGGCCAGGTTGTACAAGCTCCTACAAGCATTTTACTTGATCTAAACTCTGGGTCTGAAAATTATGCACAGTATTTGGGAATAAAGGAGAATTATCACACTAGGTAGCCCTCCAAAGCACTGAGCTCAATAACCTATCCTTCCTCACACAGGTAACACCAGATTGTTCAAATCATTTCATGTGTTAAGTACATTTTTTCATTATTCTACATCGGAAAGTTTAGACAGTTCAAAATTTTCCTGAAATCAATGTACTATTAAGAGGCAGAAAAAATATACTGGGACAGGATGAGGCCGTGATGAGGCTTAGCTGACACCTCTTAAACAATCAGAAAGAGACGTCTAGCCGGGCAGTGGTGGCGCACGCCTTTAATCCCAGCACTTGGGAGGTAGAGACAGGCGGATTTCTGAGTTCGAGGCCAGCCTGGTCTACAGAGTTGTAAGATAGCCAGGGCTATACAGAGAAACCCTGTCTAGACCCCCCCCAAAAGGAGACTTCTAAAAGGACACCTGTCATTAGTCAGGTGAAAGAGAGCCAGGCTCCACCAGCTCCTCCTCCATAAGTGGGCTCACTCTCCACTCTAGCCTTCCCGAAAGCAGCAGGATTCTGAGCCTTTGCAATCTTTACTAACAAACAAAACCTTCTTATTTGTCACTCTCTGTAGATGAATGCTCTGGCAGAGCTTGTGGCGTGACCCAGAGGAAACGGATGAAGGTGAGTATCACCTCTTTCTGTAGGAGTGCACCCTGTTTGTCCCTCAGTTCATGTCCACATTGTTGAGGATAGTTTTCTTTTTGGTGGCGGATAAGTACATAAATATATATTTGATACTTAAAGTGTAAATTTTAATGTGAAGCTTCACATGCTGTATCAAATGCCAATTGTAACTATATGGAAAGTCATTGAATCTTTGGGTCTGATTAGTTTTGGTGTGTGATGCTTTTATTTATTTGCCAGGTCCTGTCCTAAATATTATCCAGCAAATTAGAACACCCTAAATCAAGTAGCAGAAATGCCTCCTGTAGATTGCTATTTGCCAAAATGCCTTATCTCTGATTCTCTTTTAAAGCTGGCATCGGTGACAATAAGTATTCATAACATCAAAGGAAGACTTGCCTCTGGAGAGAACGGTTCCAATGTGGCAGGTTGGCTGCAATCTGATTCCTAGTCCTTAACATAATGTATTGATTTTCAATGTGGTATTTATTTAATTCTTTGAGGCTTTTATATAATGTATTTTAATCGTATTCACACATGCCCCATCCTTTCATCTAATGAATATAAAACATCTTTCCTAGCTGTTTTTCTCCCAACATTCATATCTTTTATTATTATTATTATTATTATTATTATTATTTTTAAAAAAAACCCAAGAAGGAGACTTCTAGCCAGGCAATTTGTGCTATTTACGTACTGTGGGATGTACGGTTGACCTACCAAGGGCCATACTCTTAAAGAAAACTGACTCTCCCTCCCATAAAAGCCACCCACTGTTAAGAGCTCCTCACAGAGGCTGACAGCACAGGAGTTCCTACTCACTCCGTGCTAGAGTGCTGGCAGGCTTGATCTTGTGCAGGTTTCATGGGAGCAAAGACTCCTACTGTGTGTTCATGAATTTAACAACTGTGTCATGTCCCTCAAACACTACATTGCTCTGGTCCGAATGTCTTCTGCCTCTTAAAATCTTTCGATCCCCGCTTCTGGGATGGAACTAGAGCTTGGGAGGAAGGTATGTGACGTATGTTTGATGTTTAGCTGGGCAATCCATAGACACTTACTTTGCGCAGTCTAACCAGATGGGAGTTTCTGCATTAGCCACCACTCACTGATACTTCTCTGATGCTTTCTGAGAGCTCGCTTACCTATGGGTAGAGACATACGAATTTAGAAGACAGTTTGTACCACATTCATTTAGCAAAATCATAGTAATGGGTTTTCCTGTGGGGACTGTGCAACCACAAGTTCTTAGTTGGACTTGCAGTACCTTACCTGTTTCTTTAATTAGAGCATTTTAATAATTAGAGTACTGATAATGAGAATTGCCACAACTGTGCTAAATTATTGGCCAAAGAGCAGTTCCACTAGCTCACTAATCTGTACCCAAACTACTGAAGGGCAGTCATGTCTTCTTTTGTTTCTGAAGCCCAGGTGATGCTTCTGTTAGTACTCTCCCACGGAGTCTGTGCATTCTTTCATCCTGACACTCACTTTCTACTTAGGCATCGCCAGCTGGCTTCTGCTCTGTGAAGGGCTCATGCACTCGTCTCACTAGAAATGACAGGACTTTCATGGTGTGCCCCTTCCACTATGATCAACTTTAGGACATATCTATACCTGAGAACTGTCTGCCTCACAGCCCCAAGTCAGAGGAACCTTCAGAAGCACCTGACTTTTTATGAAATGGGGGTTTCCAGAGTTGCAGGGTCCAGTCTAGTGTAGAGAGAGTTCTGGGAGCTGAGATTAGTGGGCAGTGAGGACACACTTAAGGACTGAACACGTGAAGAGATCCTGACACAAGTATGTAGGTACTCACTATTACCTGACAGGCCAGTTCTGGAGGATCTGACACAGTGCTTCCTCCACAGGCGTACCCACATACATGCTCCACATACACAGAGACATACACAGAAATAAAAATGTAAATATGCAATAAAAGGCAATGAATTCTGCTTCTGAGCTCAGAAACAATGTTCTTATAGTTGCACATATAGACCCTCTCATGCATGACTCAGGAAGTTGAATGAATGATAGCTCAGGATTGGTGACCATCAACTTGTCTTGTTGCAAGCAAGCCTGGTACCTGTGACACCTTGCCCAATTGCACCTGAGGTGTTCTCACCAGCATCTTGTGTGATACCACCTCTGGCACGAGGTTCTTTGATACCTAGATCACTATGTCTCCTTTCTCTCTTCCCCGTCCCCTGCTGCGTTCCTCTGCACACCCCGTCATGGTGCATGTAGTACTGTCTCCTTCATCCTAGTCACCCTTCACTTCCTGTCCACGGATGCACCGCCAGCTTCCGTGTGCAGCCTTGCATTTATTTAATACCTGCCTTTCCCAGAGCCTGTGGGTTCCTCCAGCGCTTTTCTTTGCCTAGTCTTCTCTGCTCCACACTCGTAATTACATCTCTTCTGCTTGCGCAAATGACAGTCTATTAAGAATATAAAGGCAAACATTGTAGCCCTGGAAACACGGCTGGCTTAGGCCAGTCCTTTCCCATTTAAACATCCGTGTTCGTTTTTATTTAGTTACAAAAAGTGAAATACTTTGTCAAGTGTGATTAAAATGTTATGAAAATCCTTTAAAAAACACCTGCAAATACTCAAGCCCTTCAACATTCTGCCACGGAAGGAGGGGTTCACCAGGCTCTGCCCCTCTCAGAGGTTGTGAAGGCACTTGCCAGCTGCCAGACGGAAAGGCCAATAAGGCCCAATGTACATATAAGTAAGCCTAATTAAACTCACCGGGTCTCACTAATACCAACCAAGAGGAAATAACAGGGAATCTAGGGGTAGGGAAGAAGGGCATTGGTGTGACTCAAGAGAGTAATTACGTGTACACATGATCAAGATGCATGATATATGCACAAAATGTCACAATGGAATGGAACGACATATATAACTAATATATGCTAATATAACCTTTAGAACAATACATGAGAAGACACTTAACCTCTAAGACAATACAGAAATGCTACTGACATCCTGAACAAGAGCTTCAGTGTTTAAAAACCACTGAAGAAGGCAGTACGTGGAGGAATAACCCAACATGTGTTCCAGGAGCACTAGGCTCAGACTCAGAGACACCAGCACACCCAAGAGAAAGCACATGCTTTGGGGACAGACAATAGGGTGGCGTTGGATGAGAGGAAAGCATGGGAGAAACAATGCTCTGGTTTCCCTGGCATGTTTTAGGTGCTTGGCATAGGTTCTGAAAATCCCAGGCCTTTCTGGGTGAGGATCTCACCTAGTACCAGTTCAGATGTTAGAATGGGTCTACATAATCATAATTTGACTTCTTTTTCTTCTTCTGAAAACCATGTGACACTGGAAAAGTCTTTTACATGCTCTGAAGTTAACTCTGAAATCCATATAATATAAGTGAGTGGTCACTGGGTCCTCCTTCTAATGGAGGATAAGATAGGAAATCTATATCAGGGGATGGGGAGAGGGACCAGACAGTACACTGGGCGGTATAACCCAAACTGGCTTTTGGTCTATACTGCTGGATGGCTGACATCTCAGTCTTTGTGAGCCAGCAGATGTAAAGGCCCATGGATTCTTCGGAGGGACAAGCTTTTCTGATGAGAAAAGGCCCTAAATGACCTAGCTCTCATGCACTAACTTCTCCACATTTCAGGATCGGGTACCATTCATGTAAGCCCTTGGCTTCACCGGCTGCGAGAGAGGAAGACTCGAGTGATATATGAAGAGATTAGTGATTCTGAAACTGATGATGATGATTATTATTGAATTTGTAAGTAGTCCTCTGACACATCTTGTAATGCCCAGAACACACACATTTCCTATGTGGTATTGGACCCTACCCAATCATCCACTTCTAGTCCTTTGGGGTGCAACACTGAACTGGAAGTGATATGCCATGTTTCCTTTACTCCATTGGTGCGTAGTTTGGAGACGTTCCCTAGCCAGGATGCTATGGGCTTCTAAATTCCAGGTTAACACTCAAATTATAGGCCATATCTTCCTCTGGCTAAAGAATTCAAAGACAAGGTGAGGCATCCCCTGTGCTCTAGCAGAGGGTTTGCTTGTGGCGCAGAGGCTCTGAAGCTGAGTGGAAGGAAAGCATGTAGGCTGTGAAGGACAGGAGGAAACAGAGCGGTGAGGAGGTGGTGGCAACTCACTAACATTTCTCTTCCTTCTCTTTCTTGTCTCAACCACAGAGAGTCGAAATAAGCCCATGGTGGAAGAAGGATGTAGTGGGAATTCAGGATCACATAGCTACAGCTTTGAAAGACTAAATATCAGCGATATATATACACATACATATTTATTTATTTATTTATAAAAATTTACTAGAGTTCTGAGTTAAGCACGTGTCAAGTGTTTGTTCTCTTAGTAATTTTGCAGGATGTGTCAAACACTGTGTTAGGAATCTTTTTACTTCATGCCAAACATTTCCTATTATTATTGTCACTGTGCTGAGCTCCACAAGGATTGCTCTTTCTGTGCCAGACACTTGTTAAGCATAGATATTGCTGTATGGCAAGCATCTGGTCAGCACTGGGGTAGTACATGGTAAGCACTCTGGTAGTGTTATCTTACTGTGTGGCCACCACTCTGGTAGAATACCAAGGTTTCAAGCAGGCTCGATGGCTCAGTGATGAAGGATCCTGCTGCCAGACCAGTCGACTTGAGTTCAATCCTGAAGACCTACACGGTGGACAGACAGAACTGGCTTCCTGACAGTGTCTTCTGATATTCACAATTGAATGCATGTGTGCATACACACACACACACACACACACACACACACACACACACACACACACA